GGAATCAAACTTTTTTTTTTTTTTTTTTTTTTGCAGATTAAATGCATAAATAAAAGCAAAGACATTTAAGATTCCTGTGGGAATTTTAATTGAAACGCTTTAGAAAAATAAAAATTAATAATTAAGTTAAAAATTATTCTAATGACAGGTCTAATCTAAAAGTAATTCTATAAGTAATAAGTATTTGATTAAAATATTATTTTGATATCTATACTTTGTTTAATTTTACTCTCACTATTTTCAATAAATTTTTAATTCATTCCATCAAAGTTAAATTTTATTGAAATTAGTTAACAGTAATAATAAATTTCATGCAAAATAGTGAAAATTCTAATATACAATAATAAGTTTTTTAAAAAATCAACAATAAATTCTTTTTTCGACAATTCATCTCTCTCTCGAAAAAAAAATTACTTTTATTAACTATTGGAATATCAATTATGATCAGCTAAATTCACTCAATAAGCTATATTAAATAATTTAAAATCTTATCTAGAAAGACACTTGAAATTATTAACCTTTTGAAAGGTGTTTATATAAAAATCAATTTCATTTAAAATTTAGCACTAAAAACAAAAGCAACGGTAAATTGTAAATTTCAAACTTTTGGATGACACTTTACCCTCCTAAAGATAAGGACAGTTCTTGTGGGACACCCAAGTTTTGGATCATGTGGTCTCCTCCCAAGTTCCAACACTAACTCAATGTCTATATTCTTAAATGGAAATTAGTACACATTGGATAATATTTGTCTCATTCTATAATCAAAAGAGTACGATTATGATTTATTAAAAAGAAAAGTAAAAGACGAAGATAGAAATAAAAGATAAATTACCCTGTGACATAACTCGAGGAGATATAGAGATTTGAACCTACAATAGAAGAAGAACGTGATAATTACCGTTGAACTATACTCATTTGTGTAAAGGCCCAAGCCCACCGCTAGCAAATATTGTCATTTTTTGGGTTTCTAGCTTGCCCTCAAGGTTTTTAAAAAGGGAAAGGTTTCCACACACTTATAGAAGGGTGTTTTGTTCTCCTCCCCAACCAAGGTGGGATATCAGAATCCACCCCTCTTCAGGGCCCAGCGTCTTCACGGGCACTCGTTCCTTTCTCCAATCGATGTGGGACCACCACCATAACCACCCCCCTTCGGGGTCAGCGTCCTTATTGGCACACCACCTCATGTCTACTCCCTTCGGAAAACAACCTCCTCGCTGGCACATTGTCCAATGGCTGGTTTTGATACCATTTGTAACAGCTCAAACCCACCGCTAGCAAATATTGTCCTCTTTAGACTTTTCCTTTCCGACTTCCCCACAAGGTTTTTAAAACGTGTCTACTAGAGAGATTTCCATACACTTGTTTTGTTCTCCTCCCTAACCAACGTGGGATATCCACTTTGACAATTCCTATCAACCATCTTTCAACTCCGCTGTTCCTAATAAATGAGCACGCCTGGTTAGGACTGAGCATGAGGGTAATATTTGTAAATGATTTGAACCTTTTTGTACAAAAGGCCTACTATGTGCTTCCCTTTTCAAAAGCTTTTACAATTTTAAAAAACCTCTACACATATATGAAAAGAATAAAACTTTCTTACCAAAAATCCTCAGCTCCTTCCAGAATTCATCGACTGAAACTCTGCTAGACTTGATTTTGGCCACATAACCTGTAAGATTGAGGAGAAAAAAGTGCTTCCAGAAGGAAGATTATCAGTATTTTAATCCAGGGCGAGAGACTGGAAAATGATGGTGTCAATTAATGATTAGAAAAAAATACTGGGGAAGTGAACTGGATAATAATTCCATGGATTGCCTCAATGAAGTTCAGAGGCTAAGAATTAAAAACTAGGAATATCCTTTTGGCTACAATTTTGAGATGGAGAAAAGGAGTGATTCCCACCTCAATTACAGATTACACCTAAATCCGTGTTAATCAAAATGCATTCTTGAGGAAACTACCTCACATGTACCGACCAATTGAGCTTGCAAACAATGTCAGGTTGCAAGATTTCGGAGCCAAGAATTGATTCCGTCCTTTTGGCTTCTTTTTCCAACTTGCTGATGGGAGAATGTTTTCTAATTACACCTCCTTTCAGGCAGCCAAATCATATGCTTCAGGATTGACCAACCAAACTACCTACCTTAAACGAGAACCGGATGGTCGGCTTTGCTCATAACCACCAGGGACAAAAACAGGGAGTTGGTTTGAAGCCGAGTCCCTTTTGAATCTGGACTCACGGGATAGAGTAATCGTCATTCTGTCTTGGCTTTCTCTCGAAGTCGAGACCCTTTCGTTTCTCAGACTATCTCGAGAAGAGATGTTCAGTAGAGGACCACCGAAGAAAATGGAATCTCCTGTGTACATTAACTTCTCTGCTTGCTGCAATGGAGCTTTTGTGTTGGAAGATGATGCAGGTTGCAATGGATTAACTGGCTTTCTAGTGTTGTTGCTTGTTTCGCCATTTAAATTCGGCAAACCTATCTGCACAGACGATCTAGAAGGACGGGCTTCTGAAGCTGAAACAGGAACTGAGACATACCTCCCAGCTTCTTGGTCCCAGACAACAGATGTCTTCCTGACATCTCTGAGAAGAGAAGTAGGGGCTGAAAGCAATAATGGATCAGTAGTGTTTCCCCTCTGAGCAACCTTATCGTCAAACCCAGAAGTATGAGATCTTGGGTCAGTGACAACAGGGTAGGATGGCTTGGAAGAATATGGGCGTTCAGGAAATAGGCTGGGAATTGATGAAGCAGCACTAAAACGACCCAGACCCAGACCATTACCATGTGGGAGAGGACTGAGGGTGACTGTTTCATGCACATGGCTTGGACTACTGAAGCTACTCATGCTCTGTGTTCCAGTTTCATAATCATCCTGACTAGCTTGACTCGGAGCCAAGGAATTTCTTATGGGAGAGAGCCTAAGATCATTTTTAATCTCTTTGTTTGCACCAGTGTCAGTGCTCACACTACTTCTAACACTTAGGTTTCCGCTGGAGCTCAATTCCGTATCTGGGAAACGGCGGTTATCAAGAGGCCTCAGAACAGATGATGATGCTCTAGCTTTGGCAGCAGCCTTCATGGCCTCATTAGAATCCAGTTTTGCAAGTTTCCAAGCACTAAGACGAACGGCTCTTTTGGGTGCTTTTGGCCCTCTTTCTGAAGCTCCTGCTGCATCTGGGTCAACAGTAGATGGGACCATTCCTGGCTCCAAGTGAGGCACCACTTCATCCTAATGCGTTTAAGTGGGATTAGTTAGTAGTAAGAAACTGTTGTTTTATGATAATAAGAAGCTTGTGAATTGGATAACGCGTGCATAATTTCTCCACACAAAAGATAACAGAAACAAATTAAAACTTATCGGCACAACATAAATAATGAAAGAGCTTGAACTAAAATTTGTTGGAGTTCAAGACCCAAATAGACAAAGTTGGTTCTTTTCCAATTTAAGATAATAATAATAAAAAAAAAAAAAAAAAGCCATTTGGAGGGCAGATAAATGATTTCTATTCATACACCGAGGGTAAAAACAATTTATACCTTTTTCTAAAAGTTCAAAAAGTATTGATTCTCCTTTCGGAAGTTCATACGTATCTTTGAAACGTGGTACTGATGGTTCTGTCCATCTGTTACCAGTAAGGATATTTTCCAGCTTTAAAAAATGTTTAAGGGTATTTTTCAAGTTTTATAAAAAATAAAAAGAATATTAATAAAATTTCGAAAGTTCATGGGTATTTTTGAAAAAAATACTAACGGTTTCCATCCAAAACTAACAAGATAATTTTGAAACTTTAGGAATATTATTGGAACTTTTAAAAGTTAAGAAGTATTTTTTGAGACAAAATACAAAGTTTGGGGTATTTTTTTTATTAGTTTAACCAAATATTTATTCTTCTATTTTTTTCAATTTAAATCCTCTTTGCATTAAATTACATTTACTAATTCATTATGCTTTAATTTACCAAAGTGAAGCTTCAATTTCTCCCCTTTTGAATCTTGACATAATCAAACAGGAAGAAATGAAAAATGACCATCAACCTATGACTGGCTTGAGAAATAAATAAATGGGATTATCGGCTATCAAGCTACATGCAGAAAATATTTACCCAACAGAGAAAATGAAAACAATCACCCAAAAAGTGTGGAGGAGAAAGGTAGGTTCTCTTACTAAAGATTAAAAAGTCAATACCTGATAATCAACAAAAACTCTTGGAGGCGTACACCATGCCCCCTTGTATTGTAAACCAAGAGAACTTCCACCACTCAAACCAGTGGTAGCAGATCCTGATGGAGAGTACATAATGTTTGGCAATTCCTCGTCAACAGAAGCTCCAGCAGGGGCCTCACTTGTAGCCCTCATCGCTATGACATATTCATAGGTTGTAATACCCTATTTCAATACATGTATTAAAACAACTGATGAGAAGATCCGCGCACCAAACAAACCGTCTAATCATGATCCATTAGTTTTCCAAATTGATCTTAGATATAGATATATTATTCTGATTTTAAATGTAGCACTATTTATTGACTATTACCCCATACCACAGTATTTCCCCAAGATCAAGCAACAAAGATCATGGAGAATGAAAAATCTATTCAAGTTCTCATCACTGACCTTTTTAATTAATATCATGTGGAAAAAGAAAAGTTCGCCCAAAGGGATACAGGCCAGCATGGAAACTGCAGTACATATCGCCTGGATAAAACCAAATTCAGACTAGCAATTAGCACCTGACTTGATTTTTTTGATAGTCATAAGTAAAGCTATAAAATATGTGTTTTTGTTACAAGACATAATTACTTAATTTGTCCCTACCACAACTGTCGCAAACGGGGCACGAGAAAAGCCATTTCCAAGTCGATCGATAATTTCAGTTTCCATGCCTCTTTTATTAACGAAGCAACGCACTAAAACAGCAATACCAATTCCAGCTTCAACAACGAGCTGAACCACAAAGGTAACAGTAATTAGCAGCAAAAAATATAGTATACTATGGTTTCAAAGAATAGTATCCAGTTTTTGGTACTTACCCAAACAAGACTTACTGCCATAAGAGAGATAAATGTGATATAGTTTTTCTGCCCCACACAGTTATTGAGCCACTGCAACCACGTTGAAAATACAGGTCAATCTCCAAGTAAAAACCTTAACAAAATGAAAATGAAAAACAAACTAAATCATTTTTTTTTTTTTAAAAAAAAAGAAAGATATACCCGGCAATGGTGATCAAAACCATCAACACATTTATCACAACTTCTACAATGTTTGCTGAACTTCCGCACCTGCAACATTCGTACGTTGTAAATCAAAATAAAGTTTTGTTATCATGGATACATGCGGCCCATTATAAACGGAGTTGCAGGATTATCTTCTAAAAATAAGATGGACAACATTCAAAACCTTGACAACGTTGCATGATTATATAAAACTGATACTAGATGCATGCAGACAAAGTACGAGTAAAGCAAAATATTAACATTTATTGTTCTGACGGACTATGATACTGTACTTATTTAATTTTTACTTGGGAACTATAATAGAGCATCCAAACCAAATACCTCAGCATTGCACAATGTGCAAAATAAAGCATCCTCGGCAGCACTTTGAGGGTCTGCCCCTCCATCCCTTTTTCGACAATCTTCGTGTACAAATAATGCGCAACAAATTAGTCCAATTTTATCAGCACTGCGAACTGTTGGTTGTTCCACTGGTTTGTCTGCTCCGCCAACTTCTCCTACCGAACCTTTCCTACTCGTATTAGCCCCTGATATGGAACTTCTGGAAGGTGATGATGCAGACGAATGTCTGCCATTGACAATTTCATCTAAATTTTGTGGTAGACCCTTCAGTGATAACCCTTGATTATTGTTGGGGTTTGTAACCCGATTATCAAATTTAGACATAATACCAGGGTCAGCTGGATTAATTGCAGTGCATCTCACATAAAGAGTGAACACAAGGAGAGCCTGCAATGCCATGAAAAGATTGAAATAATGAAAGAAAATAGGTTTCCAACCATTTAAATGTTACACAAAATGCTCTTATGACAGTATGGTTTGGTACATTCTACATGTTACAAGTACAAGCACGGTCAATCTAAAGGAGGATCTGATTTAGAGGGATCACTCACCCACTCAATATTCCAAACCCACTACCATCCAAAAACTGATAGTTTTTGTATTTATAATAAGAGACAAAATATGTTTGTATTATCACAAAACTGATAGTTAATGCAATAAATTTTCTTATCCAAGAATTAGTGAGTGCTATAAGTGAACAGTTCTTGGAGGAAAACACCATAGAAAATTCTGAAATGCGCAAAATCGAGCTAGGAAGAAAACTCAAATAGATCAAACTTTCAGGATCTACAAGCTGGAAAATTATTATCCACGAATCAACCCCTCGTAGTGACAGCATCAAGTGCATGCTTGATAATTGAGGTGGTGAGGGAGAGAGTAAATAATATGCATACCACTGGTGAATAAACGCCAACCAATATGTACTCCCAGACATGGCCACCGAGGAAGGGAGCAAAGAAAGCATAAAATGCCACGACCAGTAAACAAAACACTGTGATTGCAACGACCTACATTTCAAGCAAAAAAAATATATTAGAAAGAAACTCAAGGCAGGCATAATACTACTGAGAACAGATTGTTTGTGACAATAACTTGATAATAGGTAAGAACAAAACAAAACAAAAATAAGAAAGACTTCGAGATTCTGAACAACATTCCTAGCCTCAGCTGTACAAACCAGTGACACAAGTACTGGAACGCATTTCAACACTTGAAATTGTGCTCCACATAATATAAAACTGAATGCTGAAGTTCAAAAATCAGACTCCCACTATGCCTAGGTTGAGAATAGGAATAACAAGATACCAAAAAAAAACCCTCATCCCTCCCGCAAGCTCCATCCATGTGTCCAAGCCTAGCGAAAACCAATCATTCCCCAACTTTGAGCAGTGATCCAACATAGATTTACCTAAGAAAACTTGCCATTAAGTATCAATGCCCCATTCCTAAGCCAATTCTCCAAGGGGAAAAAAACGGGAGAAAAAATAGATCACGGACGAAAATACCATCGAGATATCACAAGCTGCAGAATCACGCAGAACTCGAGAAATGAACTCTTTTAGACTTAATAATCTTGAAAGCTACAGTATTATTGCAACATTTCCTCTCGTTTCTCTCTGTAGCCTATCAGAACAAAATCCAATCTATATACTCGACGAGACACAGAATGGAAAAAAAAAAAAAAATCCACATCGTCATTCGGAAGACTGAGAGTAAAGCTGCAGACAATTTCCAACGAACAAACGCCATAAGAGAATCAAATTTCAAACAAACAAACCACCACAACTCAGCCATTTCCCGAGAGAGAGAGATCACACATTGGCAAAACAAAACCCTAAGAAAGCAAGAACCCACAGCAAAAAAGAAACAAACCAAAAACAATCGCAAGGAAGAGTACCTGAAAAGTATGAGCAGGCAGTTGCCATCCATGTTTCCTCACCATAACTCCACAATCGAAACGCCACTCACTGCCGAAGTAAGAACAAACCCACTCTTACACTCCCGTCGACCGGCCGGCGAGCAGAAGAGAGAGAAACCGAAATCAATAGAGGAAGAGAAAGAGAGAAAGTAGTCTCTGTAGCAGCTGAAAGCGATTCCTGGAAAGCGAGAATCAAAGCGGAAGCGGCGAAGCAGTGAAAAGGAACGGCAGATGGGAGAGAAGGGCGCCAAGGTGAGCGTTGACAATGAATCTCAGGAATAGTAGTGCAACACTTAATAATTAATCTCAATTTATTATTTATTTTTTAAATAATAATAATAAAACCGTTTTTTTATTTTGATTAAAAAATTACCGTTGGATTTTAAATTTGGTAATTAATTTAAGGTGGAATTAAATATATTGAATTTACTAAACACATAATTTTAAATTTTAAATTTATCAATAATCTATTAAACTTTATTTAAAATCTATTTTTCTAAAAATTTATAAATAAATAGATACTTAAAAAAATTAAATTTAATATTGTTGAGAGGATTAGGTAAGAAGATGTGATGATACTTTTGGTGGGAAAGAAGGTATTATTTAATGTTTGCTGTTTTGTGGGTCCCACCTATACAATCTCACTCTGCACGGCGGTCCGGGCACATTAGCTCTACGTGGGATCTCACAATTCACCTTGCCCCCACAAACTGGCACGCGGGGAAATGTCTGATTCTGATACCATTTGTAACAGTCGAGCTCATAGCTGAAATATAGATTTTAAGTACTTACAGGTCATATTGTATTGAATAATTACGTCGACCCGACACATTTGAGTAAAAACAAAAACATGAAGATTCCAAAGACACAACACGTCGAGCTGAAATTACGTCATCTCGAGAAAGTTAACTTTCTACTCTTTTGATTCATCGAGCTACAAACCAACGCGAGCTAGGGAAACAACAATTCGATTTATTGATTTAATTAAATAAATATAAAAATTAAAAATAAGTTTTAATAGCAAATTTTAAGTATTTTAAAATAAAAATGGATGTTTTATGAAATTAAATAGAGTGACATCTACCAAATTTATAATTAATTAAATTTAAAATGAATTAATTAAATTTGCAAAGTAATGAATATTAAAAATTGTTGAATTTCGGGGGCAGTTGAGGAAATTGCCCTGGGCCGTTTCTGCACGCGCCGTAAGCGTGGGCCGCCGTTATGAGTCCGAAAATAAAATGCCGGGAAAATAAAAAATAAATCGAAAATAGCGAAGGCGCGAAAGGGTAAAATAGTCCGAAAAAAGAATTGAAAGCGAGTGAGAGAAAAGCGAGTGACGAATTATCCATTGTCAAGAAATAAAAACAAACATCCCCTTCTCCCAGCGGCGAGTGGTTTACAAACCCTAATTTCCCAAATTTTCTCAACTCTTTGCCCCACTCGCGGCGGCAACCCCCACTCGCTCGCCTGTCTCAGCTTCTTCACTCCCTCCCCTTCAGATTCTCTATATGCACTGCACTTCAGGTCCAATTTCTTCTTCTTTTTTTTTTTCTCTCTTTTTCCCTCTTCAACCCCATTACGAACTGTTTCCTTTGATGTTCTCTTTCAATCTTTCCGTTTTTTTCTTCTTTTGTTGTCGCTGTGATTTGCTTGAGATTTTGCCCATGTTGAATGTTCTTGGGTTTGGTGTATTATTCTTGCGCTTCTATGCGGTGGGATTGTTGTTTGTTTCTCGAGAAAGTGCCGGAAAATGGAGGTGGGTGTTTTTTTGTTCGGAAGTAGGAAAATTATGAAATTAAAGGGTCGTCGACGATGGGAAGGTTTATGAAATGAATTTAAAGTTCTGTGGATTGGGGTGTGTTGTATTTTGTCGATGCTGTGGGAATCTTTAGCTGCTGGATGGAAGTGTATGTGTATCCAACTTGCCGGTTTCTTGACAATTCAAGTTCTGCTTCCTGTCTTATTGATCAATCTCCAGTGGCGAACTTCATCAGAGTGACGGACTTCAACATCCAGAGGAATGCTGCGGAATTATTGTGGCATCGGAATTAATTCGAGGGTAAACTATATTGGTGTAGTGCCGGTGTCACCATGAATGATCCTTCTACCTTCTAATGAAATGGTTTAAGATGCCCAAAATTATACCCAGTATGATCGTTTCATTAGTATACATGTAACTTATATTTGGCCACTTTTGATGTGTAAATCTCCAAGCTACGTGCCAGCCCAAAGCTCAGCGCAATGACAAGTTCTTTTAGTTTTTGTCTTACAGCTGGGGGGTATTACGACAGGTTTGCTAAGTGTTCCGGCATGAATGAACCGGTGATGCCATTTAAGTGTCTAGTATGATGTGAAGTTGAAAATTGAATTACTTTAGGATTGTGTCGTTTTCATTGTTCAGCAGAATACTCAAGTGGAATGCTTTTGGTGACAGGGGAAGATTCAATGGATCTTGGTCCTTATGATATCACTTGATCTAACATATAGTAGAAATTGGATGAAGTTTTGGAGATTTAATTGACGTATAGAAGATTTGCTTCGTTGTGTTTAATAGTGAGCTTGTTTCTTTATTTGTTTGTTTGTTTTACTTCATCGTTTTGTTGCAGGGAGGAGACCAGTAACTATCTTTCCTATAATATTGGGTATACGATTAAGCGTGTATATAGATTTTTCTCTTTGCATTGCTATCTTTGCAAATTGCCGATTCTTTTGATTTCGTTTTCAATTATTATTTTATAAATCTACCATTGTGAGGAGAATAAAACTTCATGTGACGTTCCATGCAGTGTCATTGGAAGATTTATGTTGTATTTCTTATCGAGTTTCAATGCGTAGATTGGAAATAACAATTTTCTGCAGGTCTTTTTGGTTCACCGTGAAAGTTTAGAATCTCGATGACAGAAAGTTCAAAATATCGTTATTGAGACAAAATATGAGAATTGAAAATCATTGTTATTGTCTCAAGATATTAAATTTTAGTTCCTTTACTAGCAAACAGCCTTTGATTTTGAGAATTGATGTTGTAGAGTTGATATGCGAGAAAGCAACAATAGCCTGCTTCATTGGTTATGGGCATAGTAGGTATAGACCCTGTAACTAAAAGGCAATGATTTTTTTTTTTCTTTTCAGTTTAGATAACCCTGTTTATGTATATGCAATTAAAATTAAGATTCTAGTCTCTGAGATGTTCACTATTTCATGTCCATTTCAGGTATCTCCAAAGTTCATTAGCCATAGGCTCATTTCGCCATGGATATAGATCTTAGGTTACCTTCTGGTGAGCACGACAAAGATGAAGAACCGAATGGAATTAATAATATGTTGGATGTGGAAGAAAAACTTCATAATGGAGTTATTGAGAGTGGAAATAATATGGTTGATGCTACAGATGGGATGCACGTTGAAGATGGTGGAGATTTAAATTCCCCCATGTTAGACATGGTAATGTTTAAAGAGGACACGAATCTGGAACCACTTCCTGGCATGGAATTTGAATCACACAGTGAAGCATATTCCTTCTATCAGGAATATGCTCGTTCTATGGGATTCAACACAGCAATACAAAATAGCCGCCGTTCAAAGACATCAAGGGAATTTATTGATGCAAAATTTGCATGTTCACGTTATGGCATGAAGAGAGAGTATGATAAGTCCTTCAATCGTCCACGTGTAAGGCAAACTAAGCAAGAAAGTGAAAATTCAACTGGTCGAAGAGCATGTGCAAAGACAGACTGCAAAGCTAGCATGCACGTAAAGAGGAGGGCGGATGGTAAATGGGTTATACATAGTTTTGTTAAGGAGCATAACCATGAGCTTTTACCAGCTCAAGCTGTCAGTGAACAAACAAGAAAGATGTATGCTGCAATGGCTAGGCAATTTGCTGAATACAAAAATGTTGTAGGACTCAAGAATGACTCGAAGAATCCATTTGACAAAGTTCGCAATTTTGCTTTTGATGCTGGAGATGCAAGGATTTTACTCGACTTTCTTACTCAGATGCAGAATTTGAACTCTAACTTCTTTTATGCTGTCGATATTGGAGAAGACCACCGACTAAGGAATTTATTTTGGATCGATGCAAAAAGTAGGCATGATTATATTTATTTTAATGATGTAGTTTCTCTTGATACTACCTACATCAGAAATAAATATAAGTTGCCCCTTGCTTTCTTTGTTGGGGTGAATCAACATTATCAATTTATGTTGCTTGGATGTGCTTTGCTATCAGATGAAAGTCCAACAACATATGCTTGGCTATTGCACGTGTGGTTGAAAGCAATCGGTGGACAGGCTCCAAAAGTTATTATCACTGACCATGATAAGGTACTGAAATCAGTCATTCAAGAGGTGCTTCCAAATGTGTATCATCACTTCACTCTGTGGCACATATTAGCGAAAATTTCTGAAAACCTTGGCAATGTAACAAAACGGCACGAAAATTTTATGGCGAAATTTGAAAAATGCATCTATAGATCATGGACAACTGAAGAGTTTGAGAAAAGGTGGTGGAAACTGGTTGATAGATTTGAACTCAGAGAAGATGAATTGGTTCAGTCCTTATGTGAAGATCAAAGACAATGGGCACCAACATATATGAAAGATGTCTTTTTGGCTGGAATGTCCGTGGCACAGCGATCTGAAAGTGTAAACTCCTTCCTTGACAAGTATTTGCACAAGAAGACCACTGTGCAAGAGTTTGTGAAACAGTATGAATCAATTTTACAGGATAGGTATGAAGAGGAAGCAAAAGCTGATTCTGATACATGGAACAAACAACCCACTTTAAGATCTCCTTCACCGTTTGAGAAGAGTATTTCGGGAATGTACACACATGCGGTATTTAAAAAATTTCAAGTCGAGGTCTTAGGTGCTGTTGCTTGCTTTCCTAGGAAAGAAAAGGAAGATGAGAAAAGCATTACATATCATGTTCAAGATTTTGAAAAGAATCTAGTCTTCATTGTTGTATGGAATGGATTGAAGTCGGAAGTTTCTTGTCTGTGCCGGTTGTATGAATATAAAGGTTACCTTTGTAGACACGCTATGGTTGTTCTTCAAAAGTGTGAACTTTCTACTATTCCAACTCAATATATTTTAAAGCGGTGGACAAGAGATGCTAAGAGCAGACATTTATTGGGAGAAGAACCTGAGCTAGTACAGTCTCGGGTGCAACGGTACAATGATCTATGCCAGCGAGCATTGAGATTGATTGAAGAGGGATCTTTGTCCCAAGAGAGTTACAGTGTTGCAGCACATGCACTTGATGAAAC